AATGTTATTTACAACTTCTGGTTAATTTCATTTTTAAGAGAAATTAATTACTTGTTACCTCAACAAGTTTAATAAATCTAACAAAAACAATATTTCTATTAATTGGAATAACGGGAAGTGGGGCCACACTCCCAGTGTGGCTCAACATAATGATCATCTTTTTTTGTCTTTAAATTCTACAACACTTCTTCTTAGTGTTATTTATTCTTAAATAATTTAGAAAATTCGAAAAAATAAGGTTAAACTTTATTAAAAGCTACATTTCCATATAAAAATAAATGATTAAGTAAAAGTATATGATAAATGAAGTAAAGTACAGTTTTCTTTTTCAGTATAATTTCAGTCGTGAACTTGACCTTCCATCTCGAGTTCGTTCTTTTGAACTTGAAACCGAAAGCTTGTTTGTAGGTTAAACCAGAACGAGTGCGCCATCGTTTAGCGGTTGTCGGTACTAAAATAACCATTTGCCTTTGAAGGTCGTGACACATTTTTGTAAATAAAAAAGGAAATCTTTACACGAATATACCAACGACCACGGCAAAGAATTTCATCGCCAACTTTTTCTACTTTACATTTAAACTTTTAACGGTATTTTGAAATATTTTTAAATAAATTGAACCGATTATTTTTAAATATCCCAATAAGAAGCATTGATAAATCGTTTCGTAAATGGTCGTCGGCGACATTCCGCTGCATAAATTAGCTAACATGAAGCTACTCGTTCCGACGTAACTAAAAAATTTATTGTTGAGCGCATCTTTTAGAATTCTTTCGGCGACCACATCTGGTTCATAAATTCCCCCGGTTCCGCTGATTATTTTTGTAGCTTCCGGTTTTGATTTTAATTCGTTAACAAATCCTGGAGTGTAAGTATCCGGAGGTAAGGCGAAAGTAACAGTTATATCATGCGGTTTTACTTCCATATCTAAAACTTCCGCTAAACCCCTCAAAGCAAATTTACTACTCGCATAAACTGAATATCCAAAAAATCCAAACAACGAAGATTGCGAACCGCATAAAACGATAATCCCTTTTTTCCTTCGTTTCATTTTAGGCACAACGGCTTGAATCGGATAAAAACTACCAAAATAATTAACATTCATTACATTCTTCGCTTCTTCAAACGGTGTGTCTTCAATAGTTCCAGCTATTGAACATCCGGCACAATTTATCAACATATAAATCGGATTTTTATTATCAATTTCGTTAAAAATCTCATTTACTTTGTCGTTGTTTGTGACATCCATTGAAATTGCTTTAAACGTTTGTGTTTCATGTAATTTCACGTTTTCAAGTTCTTTTTCTGTATCTTCTAACCGCGTAAGATCCCTCGCTATTATTGTCACATCGGCACCTTTTTTTGCTGCCAACAGTGCTAAAGATTTTCCAATTCCACTCGATCCGCCGGTTATTACAACGTGTTTACGTTCGATTGATTTTCGGTAATTTATCCATAAATCGAGTTTCTTTATAAAAATCATTGCTAAAACGGGTAAAATCAATGTTAATGCGAAAATGAAATAACCCATTGCGGTTGGATATTTTGAAAAGAAAACTGACAATTTTATTTTATTTTTTTTTATTTTGTAACTTGATTTTTTTGAGTATCTATGGAAATGTTTTTTTGTAATAAAAATAATCTTAAGATTGAGATTCGGTGAACGAGGAGGCTATTCAATACTATCTCGTTTACCAATCCATTGTCCAGGAAATACCACATCTAGATAACGCCTAACATTTACGCCAAAATGAGGTGGAGCTCCGTTTTGTTGGAACCATATCTGATTCAAATTGGCTTCGAACAAGTTTCTCTGTGCAGGTACAATTTCATTCCCAAGTAGCATTTACATATCATCTGTTAAATTTCCTTCGATAAAGAAAGGTTCAATTAACTGGGTACCCAGTATTTCCGATGATACAACCTTTACGGTCTTTGAGTACGGTTATCAGTAGCGATTTACATCATTCCAACACCTTCCATTATGCTGATTTGCAATCCTGCATAATGTAAAAGTTGCTTTTTCAGTAAAACATATCTTATTAACGAAATTCCCATCATTTGCAATTTTTCCATCACTACCTCACTAATTGTAAGTTCTAAGTTCTACGAGCGAAGTCATCTTCTGTAAATTCTTGCATTATCTGAGTTTTGTATGGTTTATATTTATGTTTATGTAATACGCACAACATTGAGAATGGCATCCATCATGTAGTACTTGTATACTTCTGCGAGAAGATAAATGTGGATCTTCGATAACACTCTGTATTGCATCTAAATTTTGTTGTCATTCTTTGAAGTATTTGGTCAACTTCTTCGGCATTCATCTTTTCCGTTCCTTGAAAAAGCTATACAATTTTTTACACCTTTGTACAAGGTGGGCCAAATTGAACACTTTTAAAGGGAAACTCCTCTTTCTATAGGAGATAGAGGAAACATGATATCAGTGTCTGAGGTTCGAGTGCGAAATCCGCATATTGATATCTCTTACGGCTTCATAGATACTGGCTGTTTTTCAAAAAATGCATTTTCGAAAAGTCGTCATAACTTTTTTCTTATTGATAAATCTTCCTTTCTGTGAAAACATCTTTCCCTCAAAGCAATATTTTAGTGGTTATTATTATTATTATCCCAACTGTTTGAATATACCTCCTTTCTGTGTTTTTTCACTAAACTTGGGAAACTTTTCTTTCAAATGATTTAAGGTCTGCCCTCTTTTATCTGAAGCTTTTACAAAGTTCTTCATAAGGCCCATCTTTATATGAAGTGAAGGCAAAATAATTTTGTCGGGCTTAACGAATGGAGTGTTTTTCATATTTTCTTTTCCCAAGTTGCTATTCATCATCCTTATATTTGATTGCCTCTAGCAACGAAGCCATGCTCTCAAAAGTTTCTTTTATATTTACTGTGTAAGCCAAAGGCACCGATGGGAATATATAGCCATTATGCAGTGGTCCTGCTTCCAAACTCATTTTACTGGAGTCAATAAAAAGCCGCCATTCCTGTAGGTTATGTTGTACACTAGCGGCATCATCAGACCGTTGACATATTTACAAACGCACATTGAATTCTGAATGCCAAAAATTAAACAGGAAATTTTATCCTTGAAACTAGAAGGTTCCGTTGTCCCATAACTAATTAAAGGCAGTTATTTTCGATTTCCTTTTGTAGTCTATAATCAGAGAAATCAGAGATACTATAAACCATAGTGTCTCTGATTGCATCACCCAGCCATCGAATTTCCTGAGAGGCTAGGAAGTTATATTTGCGTCACTACCCTATTTGATGAGAACCATTATATTTTTTAGACCTCTTCTAATAATTTTTTAATTGATCAATATAACTGCTGACAATTTTTAATGATATACTTAAATGGAAATATTTCAGCATGGAATAACTTTAGATTATTTTTCAGTAGTTCTGTGTATTCCAAAAGAATATTGTTCTTTGAAGTCATTTCTTCTAGAAGTTTTTGAAGCATTATATCTTCTTGTCGTAGAAATTTGATATCCTATACTTCATTTTAGGTAGGTATGTTAGTCTTAACCTCAACATCTTGATCGGTATCTTCGATATGTAGGTTGGATCCAAGGCAGACCGTTTCATGCCATTTGCGGAAGGCTGGATGAAATTATCCATCACATTTAACGCACGAATCAAAGTTTACCACCTTGGCAGCGCAGTGGGAACACTTAATTAGTGCAGTATTAACAGGAACTTGCATGTCCGCCATATTTATAAAAGTTAGCCACAGCAACCTACCTCATCAGAAGAATAAGGATTATCTCAACCTATGAAGCTGCTAGAATCGCCTACTTCAGCCACTTTAATTCCATACTTCAATATGGAATTGAATATAGCATTAATCCAGCAAAAGGAAGCCCTTAGAGCTTTGACGTGTGCAGGACCGCGAGATAGCTGCAGAAGCATATTTAAAGCGATGCAAATATTAACTGTCCCTAGCGTCTACATACTGGCGGCAGTTACCCTTCTGCATAAGAACAAAATGAGATATTCATCTCATAGTGATATCCACCAACATGACACTAAGCAGAAGAACAGGATTATTATTCCACAACACCGCATCAAAAGAACACAACAAAGCACTAATTATATGTGCATGAAATTATATAATAAATTGCCACCAGCCTATTCTGAGTTACCATTGCCCATCTTCAGAGGGAAAATGAAGCGATTGTTACTACAATACTCCTTCTACTCAATAAAGGAATACTTAAATTGCATTTTTTATTGAATATTATTATTATTTTCTTATATTGTTGACTATTGTACGCACATTTCTTTGCGACAAATAAACATTATTATTATTATGCTAAATGAGGTGTCATGTCGTCAGAAACGCAGGAATTCAATTTTTGTTTATTATCTGGTTGATTTAAATTTCCATCACATCTCCATTTATACAACAAAGCGAGGATATACGGCAGATATGTTTAGATACGATGATATTACAAATTTTTCTGAAAAATATTATGTTATAATATCTATATGCATATACTTCTTGATGGGTATACGCAGTCAAAATTTGCAAGGTTGTGATTTGCAATTTTTAGACATAGCCCTTTTAGTTCTTTGCAGACTTATTTCACTCAAGCTCAGGAAACGTTGTTTTGGTCATATAAAGGGGATAAAATGTATTAAACGCAAATGAAGTATTTGGCGAAGCATGAATTCCAGAAAGTGTCTCTCGTGTTTACGGAATTTAGCTTTTAAACGAGTTTATCATATAAAAATATTTAAAAATGTTGGAATGGAACTACATTTAGGCCCACTTTTACCATCCTCCTGATAAACTATCTAGAGGATAGTTGCCATGGTTATGGCGGTTTTAAGCACTCTCATTGGCTAAGAGCTGTATTTACCTATCGGATAAATTTATCAACAGGTGGTAAAAGTGGGCCTTAGTAAAATATTTAAAAATATCATAAATCGAAAATTTTGACTTGGTTATTTTTATAATTTTTTTTTTGTTTTTTTACAGAACAGCATTATGTTGCGGCCGATTCAAACAGTTCATCTACGACGAAAACGTTTATTCCGTGCAAAGTATGTGGTGATAAAGCTTCCGGATATCATTATGGTGTAACATCTTGTGAAGGATGCAAGGTACGTCATTTATTTCTTTAAATATATATGGAAATTTTGGGTACTAATGACTTAAAATTTTTGTAAAGTAATCGTTTGATGACGAGATTTTTATTGAAATTTGTTTAGTGACCTAATTCTTTAAAGGTTTAATCAAAACTAACTTATATTATTACATTTTTATGTTTAATTGGATAAACAACCTTGAAACACCTTAATCTTTCCAGTGTTTAAAAGGTTATAAACAAAAGTTGTTTACGTTCTGTTATATTATGTTCTCTATTAAGTTCCATTAAAGTTATAGACGATACAAATTTCCTTAATTTTTGTTATTACAAGTTGTTGGAAAAACAAAAATATGAGAAAAATAATCTTTATAGAAAATCTATTTGAATGTATTCAATAAATATGGGAAGTTGTTGCAAAAAAATCATTTTAAATTTATTTATTAAAGTAACAAACAATTTCCATAAATTAAAGCTAAAAGGTTCTATTTTAAGATATGTTACACGAACAACTTTTTTTCACAATTCAAACAGACTTATCACACAGACTTTTATTTTTTGTTTCATTCATTTTAAATTATATTACACAATAAAAAAAAATTAATCGATTGGTAAAAGTATATCATAAGGATATTCTGCATAAGCCCTATTTGTATAATCGGTTAATACAGTTCCCAAAGTTTCCGATAACAACGGTTTAAAGTCGTTGTATAAAACATCTATATTATCATTAATTGCTTTGTTTACGTTTTTCGTTATTTCCGGATTATTTATAAACAAATCATGCAGATACAAATACATGTTTTCCGCACGAATTTCATGATTTGATTCGATTATCCTTATGTAACGTTGTCCTTTCTTCATGTAAGAGTCCAATTTATACGTCCCATTTACACTTACTTTTTCTAAAAAAAATTACCCGGTTTAATTAGTTAATTTTTAAACAAAATTAAACTTACTAAAATCGCCGTCAACGTCACCAGCACTATCGAATTGAAATAAAAGCACTCTTCCCCGTGCTTTGTAAGTTGCTTTCATTATAAGACGGGGAAAATTAATTTGTATAGCGCCCGTTCTTCGTTTATAATCCGGCTGAACTCCGAGTAATTCGAAATCTTTTCCACCTTCAAACGTTAAGTTGAATAAATCGGCGCTAAATTGTATGGTATCTGAGTTTCCTTGTTTTAAATGTAATGAATCGATGAAAAATGGTTCGATTGGTGGTATTTTGAACTCGGGTATTCCTTTTATTAAGTATGGACGTAGTTTTTCGATTGCATCTCCCCAACATTTTGATATATTTGGATCGTAACGTTTACACACGTCAATGTAATCAGCTAGTAGTAAAAAAAATATGAAATTTATAAACACTTGAATGTATGTTATACATTCATATAAATTAAGTATACAGGGTTAGTCCAAAAGTTATGACGGCACAAAATTACGTTTTCTTTAATGGAACACCCGTATATTACTCCATATTTTGATTCATCTTTAAATTCTAAACAAAATTCATGTAGCACATCATAAACCTAAACTTAACCGTTTTCTAGATATCGAGCTTTTGTTGTAACTTATTTGAAGCTGTCAAAAAAATATTTTGATGAATTGTTGAATATTTCTTCTTCCTAGGTTGGTGCTATAACAATCGTTGAAATTACCACGTCGCAATCAATTACAATAAATACCGTGTACAACCCATGGTGATATAACATGATGTTTCTATATAAAAATAATAAGAGTGCGTGATGCGTTACACCGTGTTTGATGTGTCAGTTAAATGGAGACGAAAATCTAGTGACAAACAAAACAAGGTTGGTAACAATGTCGGTAAAACAGATAGCACAAAAGTATGACAGCTCAAAAAAGAAAATGTAATGTTATCCTTGCAAACAACTTGGATGTTATAAAAATAAGTATACGGAGAAAGACATGAAAGAAAATAAAGATGAAAACGTCCTCAGTGTTCAAGAATTTAAAAGTTGTACTGAAAACAACCAGTTGAATAAAAAGGTTTAAAATATTAAGAATGGTTTAGTTTTTTATCTCACAATACTAAACTTTTTTGAAATATTGTGGTGTTTTACTGCAGAAAACAGATCCTTATATGTCAGAATCAGTGGTGGGCGCTGGGTAAATACCCGGCGGGTAGGTATTTATAAAATGGGTATTTATCTGGGTATTTACCTCGGTCCAGGGTAAATACCCAAACAGTACATATAAAAGTGATACAAGTAAAAATATAACAGATTCGGACAAAAATGTGGAGGAACATGATGAAATGGGCGTTGAAGACGAGGAATTGTCAACGATCGAAGACGTATTATAATCAGGTAACCACTGTTCATTCTTCATTTTTGCGACGATGATCCGCCCAGTTCCAGTTGAGCTTTGCCACAATGTTGATCGCATCATTTACGCCAGTTTTTCTTCGTAGGTCTTCATTTCGTATGTGGTCCCTCAGGGTTACACCCAACATCGACCTCTCCATCTTTCTTTGCGTTACTTTGAGCCTCCTAGTAATAGCCACCGTTAATGTTAAAGTCTCGGAACTGTATGTCATAACCAAAGGAGGAAGCACGCATTGATTGAAAGCTTTTCTTTTCAAATATACAGGAATATCGCTCATGAAGATGTCTCTAAGTTTCCTGTAGGCTGCCCATGCGAGTATCATCCTTGTGTTTAGTTCGCTTGTTTAATTATTATCTCTCCATACACGAACCTCATGGCCAAGATATATGGCTGCGATGCGAACCAACTGAGATGAGTACTTTAAGAACAATAGTGGAAAAGACAAGAAATCGAAGAGATACAGTTAGGAACAAAATTGTAAGAGAATTTTGTGGATTCGGAGATGTCATGAGAGTTGCTAGGAGAAAAATAAAAAAAATTAATGAATACTTCCAAAGAATGGAAGAAACCTGGCTGATTAAGACAGCAAGAGACCAAAGATTAGCTAGAAAGAGATCTCGGGAGACCAGGAAATTGGATTTCCAACTCTAATGAAACACCATTAATCATGCGTAAAAAACAGGTTACAACCTGAATAAAAGAAGAAGAATAATAAGATCTTAAACGAACTACTTAATTTTCAATTGGAAATCAACAATCTCATGGATCTTGGAATCTTGGATTTGATGGAAGTGCAATATGACTAGAAAAGAATCAAACAACAAGAATTAATGAAGCACAAAAACCGAATTTAGTCATTAATATTCGACTTATACTCAATTCAGGACATTCAAAGTTGTTTTGCGAGCATTAAAGAAATCGTTAAATATTTTCGAAGAGTATTACGTAAACGAGAATGGTCGGTAGTGAAAATATAAAGTTTCCCGAAATATATGTACACTTTAAAGCTAATAACACCAGGAATGTGTATAAATTTGTTAGACAGTTAAGACAAAGGCACAAATCGCACTCAGCTATATGCTGAGATGGAACAGGAAAAATAATATGTGATAGTGAAATGAATGATATTTGGAAAAATTATTTCCAAAACCTATTAAGCATAGAAACTGATTTGGAAATAGACAGCAGTCCGTCACACCAAAGAAAGGATAGTGTCATGGAACCTATATCAATCACTGAGGTTCAAAACGCAACCACTGCGTCAAAACATGGAAAGACAAGGATTAATTATTCATTATCACCAATATTGATGTTAGAGCTTGGAACAAGATTTGTCCTAAATTTTGTTGATATTTAGCCCGACTCTTGCACACGCATCCTGTATATGTTCAGCATCAGTTTCATCTCTCCAAGGCTATCCGAAATTAATTGTTAATTATTTAATATTGCCATCAATGTCTATACTTTTTGGGTTCAATTCAGTTGTTTNACAGGAAAAATAATATATGATAGTGAAATGAATGACATTTGGAAAAGTTATTTCTAAAACCTATTAAGCATAGAAACTGATTTGGAAATAGACAGCAGTTCGTCACACCAAAAAAAGGATAGTGTCATGGAACCTATATCAGTCAGTGAGGTTCAAAACGCAATCACTGCGTCAAAACATGGAAAGGCATTAGGGATTAATGACATACCAGCGAAAGTATTCAAGATAGAAGTATTCATTATCACTTATCACCAGCATTGATGTTAAAGCTTGGAACAAGATTTGTCCTAAATTTTGTTGGTATTTAGCCCGACTCTTACACACGCATCCTGTATACGTTCAGCATCAGTTTCATCTCTCCAAGGCTATCCGAAATTAGTTGTTAATTATTTAATATTGCCATCAATGTCTATACCTTTTTGGGTCCAATTCAGTTGTTTAAATGCACTCTCCAGGACTGTGATGAACAATTTGGGTTCAACATTATATCGCCTTCTCTTACCCCACGCCCAATGGGTATTCGGTCAATACTTTCATGCAATTTTACCGTCATTGTAGCATTCTTGTAAATGTTATAAATAAGTTTGGTGTATCGATAATAGACTCTGCATTCTTGAAGTACTTGCAAAACTTCCACTAACTCAATTTATATATCCAGGGAATTTTCCCTTGAAAATAAATACCAGGGTATTTAACAACACTGGGCAGAATATAATATTTAATCTTATAGTCTACAATAGGTTAGTCGGCAGTTTGTGTGCATTCTATTAACCCTTTAT